TTACATTAAACAGGAAAGGGAAAAGCCAGGCAGGACACAGGCTGTTTCAAGGTTTTGCTACACGTAGCCCTGCACAGAGATGCTCCTGCCAGCCTGGGAGGACAGTACGCTGTCCCATGCAGGAAAGCGCTCCCATGTCATTCATGCTGGCCTCTCAGAATCCTAGAGTCTCAGAGCTGGGCAGCGCTGGAGTCCCTGGTCCACCCGACACAGCAGAGGGGGTGGTGGGGGCTGCCCATGATCACAGTATGGCACGCAAATTTTCAAGCCAGAACTGAACAGAGAGATGTTCACAATTCAGTTTATTCAGGCAACATTTTGGCTATTTTCAGTGTGGACAGCTACGCTTAAGAGCAAACATGATGAATCTATTGAGAATTCAGAGGTAGCCTTTATCTGCATCTGTGTTTAACTAAAAGGTATTTAGAAACCACCTTCTGTAGTGATTCGGCTAAGCCAATACATTCACTTTAGACAATAAAATGGCAAAACATATCGAAAGAAGCATGAGGGCACCATGACACCGAACAGACGTGACGCTGACACACACACAGGTTTGGGTTCAAAAATTCCTTTGTGTCTGACCCTGGGTAGCCTGACCACAAACAGACTCCCACACTGGGGGCTGGAGCAGGTACTTCCAATCCAGCAAAATCACAAGTGTACGGGAACGGCACTGCGCCTCCAGTGTCTCTGGCATCTATGGGTGTAGCCACACATGATAGTCTTGAGACACAGTGACCTCATGGCTTTAAAATGACTTCTGACCAAAGAGACGCAAAGGAGGCCCTTGCGTTCTATTAACACGGGCCATACAGTGGCCTCCTATCTAAACTGTCAAAGGCTGGATGGAACTAGAAGATGCTTTAGGAGCCATGGCAAATAACAAGGAATTAAACAGACCAAAAGTGTTCAAAAGATTTATAATTAATCCTCTTAAGATAAAATCTTCAGACATCAAGAAAGCATACCCTCCTTTTAATAGATTGAAAACTTCCTTTTGGAAAAACAAGAAAATGAGGCTAATTTGTCCTTCATGAATGGTCAACAGACACCAGGCTAAAGAGAAGAACAGAATTAAGTCCACACAGCTCTAACGATAATACTGAAAAACGTGGCAGTATCACTAAAACAAAGTAACATGTTGCATTCATAGCATTTCTTCTACCATAAATCTATTTACAATCATTTCAAACAAGTACAGCAGATGCAAAGTTGGACATAATAAAAAGAAGCTGTCAAAAAATCAGTGCAATGAGTTGAAAATTTTCCTTACAAAAATGAGTCAGCATGTGTGTGTGCTATGGACACCCCCATTACAAAGTCACACGTGCACCATGTCTACATTGAAAAACGTCACAGCAGACGAAGCTGCTGGCACGGCAGCTAGAGAGAATTCTCGGTTACTTTGGGGAAGGGCTTAAAATATAAATAAAATATTTGCATTTTGCAAGTGAGGCGTATGAACACTGAGGAAGTTTCTGTTTCTATTAATTGTACATTCCTTTTCTCATGAGCGTGAGAGATGAGTCAAAGAGAGGTCACAGGAAAATTTCTTATGGCTTGTCTGGGCCACTGGGATTGTCCACTGTCTGGATTATGTTAAATTCTAAAGCTCCTCCTAATGGAACTGCCTTAGGTGTAGGAAAATGCCCATGAAAAATCCTTTTCACTGTCCAACAGGTCAAAGTCAGGTTGAAGGACTCCATCCATCCAGTTCCTGCAGGCTCATGAAACACGCCAAGTGCTACCATGACAAGCAACCAAGAGGAGCGTCCCAGCCCCCACAGGCCCCGAGAGACACTGTGGTGTCCACACTGCATGACACTTGGCTGGTCTATCCTTAACATATTGTATCAAATATATAATTTGACTGAAAAACTGCCTTGTAAAAATAAAATTTAAATCACCCCACAGATCAATGTAAAATTACATTGCTGCATATATAAGAAAAACAATCCATCCAGAAAAATTACATTTGTGGCTTTCAAAAATAAATCATCCGGCAAACTTGAAGATAAACATTAGGTAATTTATAAAAGTTGGGGAAAATAACTTCTATCATATCCATCAGGTACCACATGCACTGGAATATCCACATCGGCCAAGTCAAACCAGAGAAGAAAAAATAAATAGCAACATTTGCATTTAACAACAATAAAAATAACATATAACAACAATAATAAAACCCCCTCCCCCCAACCTCACTACAGGAACTGAACTTACATTGTCCTTTCTGATGAGCACTCAATCATGGGGTAAACATGTAATAGAAGTGTTTAGGCCAGCCTCAAACAGCATGGAAATCACTCCCTGCTTCCAACAGCTCCCTCTCGGGCAAGCCAATGCAATGGCTCTAGAGAGTGCAAACATTCATTCGATGAAGTGTGAGAACACTACCAAAAGCAACATACTCTTGAAAAGAAAAAGCAGGCTCTAAAATGTAGTATCAAAAGTGTGTATGTAAATACTTCTTGAAACAGAAAAATCAAAATCAAAATCAAACAATCCCTTTCTAAAAGTACAGTTATGCCCAGTTTTACAAAATTTATCTAAACTAGGAAAATTTGAGCTTATGACACACAAATAACAGGATGGTGTCTTTGCAGTACCAAAGGGCTCTTATACAAAATGGCAACTTTAAACAGCTCCCCCGGGTTTCTCTAATCGCTTCGTTATTGGAACTTGTAGAATGTACTAGATAGTGGTAAAGGGATGGGAGTACATCAATGTTTTTTAAAAAGTGAATATTTTAAAATATATTAGGAAAAGTCCCAGTACAGGAATCTAATTGGGAGACCTCTCTTAAAGAGACAAGATAAATCCCAGTTTTTATTTTAAATAAACCCAGATTCCTACATCATAATTTTCACATTCAGTTTGCTTAAAGCAAGGCACACCTTACTTAACAGTGGGGTGGGGACAAAGCCAGCGAGTGGGCGCCCTGCCAACCTGAATGGCCCCGGTGCCCTGGGGGAGCAGTGAAGGCCGGGAAAAGGATGGCACTTCCTGGGGACCCCCGAGGGCCCAGGGCCCCTCACTCTGGCTGGCACTACTGGCTTCCATGTGAACAGGGTTGGGACTTAACCTACTGTACTTAGAGGTTTTATGCTGTCTCAAAATTCATCCTAATAATGGGGGGATCGATAGAAATTTGGGAAAACAATTGTTTACCTGAGAAATTGAAACTACAGCCATTTAAACTCTGAATCATCAGACATGTACAAGGTATGCAGCCAACCCGACTGGAGACATTTGGTCTGTTAATGTTTTAGTATTAAAAGTTTTATAAAACAAGCACAGGGCTATAAAAAAGTACCCTTCTCAAAGTACTTTGGCCCACTAAAAAGAAAACTTTCCTTCAAAATGACAAAAAAAAATTTTATAGGTCTAATTTTCTGCCAGTATGAAATCCTTCCTGGGTATCAGCTTAGAAAACGCTTTCTATGTTGCTGAGGAGTCCTCCCTGCTGGTCCCACAGTATGGAAGCAGAAAGCTCCCATCAGGGTCCTCAGACTTCCGGGAGCCCAGGGGCCACAAGTGATCTCTTAAAATGCAGGTGCCATGCCCCAGCCCTGGAGAATCTGATTCAGGAGGTTTGCAGCAGGCCCAGGAATCTGCATTTTAATAAGAACCACCGTTTCCTGGACAACTGAGATCCTATTACAGGTGGCAGAAACATACCTTTGAGATACATGGTTTCAGATGATTCTAAAAATGGCCAAAAACTAACCTAATTTCAGATTTTAAAAGTTTATTAGTCAAAAGATTCCCTCTTTAGCTTGAATGCACCTGATAATTTAAGCTACGAGTATATCTATATCCTTCTGAAAAGAGGAGAAAGTGCCACTTGCCATTAAGACGACAAGGAATTCCAACGTTTCTTACAGTGGAGGCTTCTGTCGTTCCAAAAGATTCAAAAAAAAAAAAAAAAAAGATACAGCAATGCCATTAATAAGACGCCCGCACACACACGTGCACACACACACACATACACACCACAACACAACACATACCTTACTCCAAGTGTGAATCTTCACAAATAATAGGCAAACCTTTGTCATTGCCCCGAATCCAGGCGAAGTGCCCAGGGATGCTGCAGCTGGGCTCACTGCCCCTCCCACCGCCTCCAAAGCAGGTGGACAATGAAGGCAGAGGTGGGCGCTCACTCTGCATGGGGCCCTCCACTGGGCCTCACCCCACCGCAGTGCCAGAGGTAAATGTCACCAGGGCTGGGGAGGGGACATTGGCAGGAGAGAGAAAACCTAGAGCACAAAGCAGCACTAGGGAAGGGCCAGTCCCTTCCCGGAATTTCTACATGAAACATGGATTTGATTCTTACCAAAATTGTGTACAAGGACAAAAAGCCCATTCAGCACAAACAGAGTTGTCTTGTTATCCTTTATAATCGTCCGTGGTGGCACTCTTAGTGCAACAGTTTCTAGATTGGCAAACCCACGTCGAGGGCCCCCAGTGCAAACCCCAACAGCAAGCTGTGCCCTCTGGGGGCCTAGCAGGTGGCAAGCTTCCCGAGGGCAGGCTCCGATGCTGCCTGTTGCCCTCATGCCCAACAGAGAGCCGCCACCGACAGCTTTCCATGTGTTTCAGTGCATAGATCCCAGGAAACTCGTCAACAGACGCTCGCACACAGAGAAGCGCACTCTGACACATGAACCTGTCTCCCAGCAACGGAAGAATAAATAAATTCCATTTGTGCTTCACCAGCTGAGCGACACGGGGATGAGGAGGCAGGAAGGGCAGCGAGCGACTGTGCTGAACACACTCGTCCCTCCGGAAGGTACAGGCTACACAATCTACACTGGGGGAGGCGGATCGCGTCACATTAAGTCAATTGCATATTCCTGTACTTAAGCGCTAAGAACCACAAGAGGTGGTCCGATCTCCAGGCTCCAAAACACTCGTAATATGCTAAACAGATCACAAGAAGCACCCCGTAGTCAATAAAATGAAAAACAGCATCTATCTATCTATCACATTAATACTGCAAACCAGATATATATATTTTTTCTCTTACATTAAAGACATTAACAGTGAAAAAGGATTGTACTGTATTTATCACCACAGACCCGTATTCTTTAGAAACTTTGGAAAATAAATGTCACAGTCCTATAGGACAAATCTTATGATTAGACTGTCGGTATATTGTCTTTCTTTTTTTAAATAAATTTTTATTAAAATGGCACTTGTCTGCCAATCTCTCTGGACCTGTAAATGCTGTAAACACACGGGGCCCACTTTCTGCCACTGCCCCTTCGTTCAGGCCACGTGCAAGGCCAGCAGTGGCAGAACGAGACACCTGTGGACACCTCGGCACGGCCACCTGCCCTCGGTCCCGAAGAGCTTGTGTAAGCCGTGTCGGGAGCACACGAGCATCACCTGGAAATCAGCTTTAGTGACAACATCAGAATGTTCAAGGCTTTAAAACCACAATCATGTTTCGTGTTGCTTTTACTCTCAGAGAATGTTCACAGCTAGTTTGAGCCCATCAATTTCATAGAGAATCATGTGTTAAAAACAAGTAAATCGAATGACCAAATAAATTAAAAATGTTTTAAAGCCCTGAGTTCATAGACTGGTTTTAGGAGATTTTTAGGGAGCACGGGACTCTATTTTAATAAGCAGCTTATAGATTTTGGCAAACCATATTTCCTACGACATTGGGGTCTCATACAGGTCTGCAGTTCAAAATCCAAGTTTGAAATCTGGGACGGAAGGCATTCTGGAAAATGGAGAATCTAATAAACTTAATGACGTCTCATGTTCGATGCTGGCTGTCACGGAAGGGCTGGCCATCTGTTGGTCTGAGTGTAGCTGGTCTCATGTGAATCCAACTCGGTACACAATCGCTAAACACTAAAACATGTCAAGCAAAGTACATGGTGCGCAGGGTGTCCTGGTGAACCTGGACCGCTTTGGCCAGTGCTTGGTGGTCTCGCCCGTTACTCTGCCCGGAGGTATGGCTTCCTTCAGCACTGCAGGGACAAGACAGAGACACAGAGAGCATGAGACTATGTAGCCGTTAACGCACCACAAGGCAGTGCTTCGACAACTACGTTAGGACGTCTGCGCCGGGGGAGAACAGCGTGAAGGCCACATAGCTAACAAGTGGCCACAGAGACGCTGGCATTCAGAGGTGTCTGTGTCATAGTCAGCTCCTGCCCTGTGGCCCTGCTGCTTGCCCTTCTGGAAAAGCAGCTGTTGGTGCCTGTGCCAAGACCCGCAGGCAGTCATGCTGCTCACCTGTCATGCTCCTTATCCACCAAGTGGTACCTGGCCCGGAAGGCCACCAGGTGAGCGTAGTATGCTGGCGCAGGGATGGACACAGAGCGCGTGCAGCGCACATAGGTGTGACACAGCTGGTAGGTTAGAATCTGTAGCTCATCGGAAGAGAAACGATTGTCATCCCAAAGGACGTGATAGTGCGAAGGCCTGCTTGTCCCCTAAAAGCAGATCAGAGGATCAGAGAATTGGCCCTGCCCTGAGATTTTTAAAGAGGATGCTGTAGAAGAATATTTAATGACGAAAAGATATTTATATTACGTTATTAAAAACACACCAGAACCATATATATATATATATTTTTTTTTTAAGACATACACGAGATTTATTGGGGGAAATGTCTGTAAAGGATGAGAGGAAAGGGAGCAAAAATACTGAAGAAGAGACTTCCCACAATGAAATGGGTCTGACACAGAACCATATATATTAAATGGCCCCATGTTGGTAAAATATAAACTACACATGCACTTATTTACACATAGACAAATCAGAACAGACATAAAGCAATATTAAAAATGGCTATATTGAGCGCAGTGTACTTGTGTATATTAGGTCTTCTACAATGTTTTCTTTACTAATGGCCAGAAAAAAAACCCCCGATGAAAGCTGTATGTTAACATGAGCACTATTTTATGTTTGAACATGAGCACTAATTTTTGTCGTCTGAAATTTTCTGAAACAAAAGCAGCAGGAGTTGGTTATGCCACCAGGCGTCCAAGGTGGCTCACGCTGCAGAAGGTAGCTCTCCTGTGGAGCCCTTGTCACTCCCACCTGCCTGCCTCACGTCCCGCCCTTCCTGCCAGCTGTCAAGGTCCTTCCTCCTCGCCCAGCCCAGTACTGCTGCCTGTTCCAGGTCTAACCTGTGCGGAGGCCCCAGGTACTAGTGGGCGGTAGAGTGCTCTTGTCCCCTGATGGACCCCCACACACGTTCTGGCACTCGCTTCCTGGCATTTAACTGGTGGTGGTCCTGGGCCCACCCTCAACATCTCACCAGAGAAGTAGCCCCGTCAGAAAGTTCCTGGACAGAAAACTCAAGGCAAAGAGTTTGCCTAGAAAACAAGCCCAAGAGGCCCTGGAGGACCAGGGATCCCCTCGCCAGGAGGGATGCCAAGAGCGAGAGGGAATGCGCTGTGAGGGCGCCAGCCCCGACAGAGCAAGCCAATGCTAGGATGGACACTGTGCACCAAAAAGTGCTGTAAAAACCTTCCTGCTCATGGTTGCATATTCTTTTAACAACCCTTCAAAAACACAAAAATTGGCAGGGTGTGGTGGCTCACTCCCGTAATCCTAGCACTCTGGGAGGCAGAGGCAGGAGGAATGCTTGAGTTCAGGAGTTCAAAACCAGCCTGAGCAAGAGCGAGACCCGGTCTCTACTAAAAAGAGAAAACTCAGCTGGATCTGGTAACGCACACCTGTAGTCCTAGCTACTTGGGAGGCTGAGGCAGGAGGATCCCTGGAGTCCAGGAGTTGGAGGTTGCAGTGAGCTACGATGACACTGCTGTGCTCTACCCAGGGCGACAGAGCAAGACTGTGTCTCAAAAAAAAAAAAAAAAAAAAGAAGGCAAAAAATCATTCTCAGCTTTCAGCAGCACCAAAGCAGGCCGTGGGTTGCCGTGGCCATGGCCGAAGCGTGCCAGCCCGTTCTCTGTCTGTGGGCTGTGTGAACGATGAGGGGTTTCAAACATTTCCAAGGGAATATTAAGAGCATGTAGAAAGTTCATAGCAAATTCTGAAACAAAATAGAGCCATTCTACAAATTCTACAAATTCTGTAGATTCAAATGCTGGGGAAGGGATACTTAAGTCCTTCCTCATACTTTGAAAAGCTGAAAGCCCCCTACGATCAAGCTCTCTGCAAGGCAGGGACAGGCACATAACTGAGGCTCCTCCTGTCTCAAGGAGCCTGTCCAAGGCGCCGCAAAGCCTGGCAGTTCAGCTACTACGATGGACGTGGCACTTCTGCAGTGGCCGCGCTCAGCGCAACAGCCCTCAGTCAGATGTGGTCTCCTCGCTGAGGGGGCCCAGGAGAACCTCGAGGCGATAACCAACCACACAGTGACCTTCTCCACATGCCCAGCACTTGGCTAACGCCTGGCCCAGCAGCAACCCTGCAGCAGCTTCCGGGGGCCTCCTGCCCGCCACTGCTCCCCACGGTAGTGCTAGTTGTCTCACTCCCATTCAGATCTCACCTTCTAGCTCCCCAAGGTCCAGCAACACAACACTCCATGTCTCCCCAAAGTGCCCTGGCCTTGGCACTTAACTGCTACTTCTGCCAGGATCTCATCTACGTGGGACCTCCTTTGGGAGGCCCAGGCCGACTACCCCAACCCTGCACCCCAGCACCTGGGGCTCCTTCCTTCCCAGCGCCTGACACAGCCCGGAGTCTTGCCAGTTCCCTGCTTAACCTCCTGTCTCTCCTCACTGGAGCCCTTTCTGTGCTGCTCACACCCGCCCCACGTGACGACAACCAGAGCCGAGTGTGCGGACAGCACCGCACACGGGACTCTACCCAAAGGGGACCCTATGTGCTTACCTGGATGCCAGCGTGACTACACAGGTAGAAGTCAAACTCAGTCGGGTGGGTGATTTTCGTGTCCACAGTCGTGCCTGCTGGAATGTTTCCACTTTTCCCGACCTTTGGCGACACAGGCATCTCGTTAGACATAGCCAGGGACCAGCGAGGCAAAGTAAGCTAGCAAGCCGGCAGCCACCCTGCCGGCGTGGCCAGAGGCTACCATGTTTTAAAACTTTTAAATTGGCTAATACATTTGCTCAGTTGTATAGTGTTAAAATAAAATGTAACATGTGTTAACAACCCAAGTTAAATTAGTTAACCGTCCATTTGGGCTGGGTTACTTTTCACATCTCACACAGGCGTGGGAATTAAGTACAGCCCTTTACCCTAAGGGTTCTTCAGTATTGTGGGTGCTATTTTTTTTTAATATATA